TTGTTCTTATTTGTTTCATCTTCTTCTAACCAATGAGAGTACCATTTGTTCAGTACCAAATGTCAGACTGTGAGGATCTGAAGACAGCACTAAAATGCATAACATTTCAGAAATAACTTGAGAAACATGTTTCCTTCTGTGGAGGTTCCCTGTACCTTTTAGGAACCTGTCCTTCCTCTCTGCTTTTCAGCAGGCAGAGCAAGGAGGTGGGCATCCTCCGTGTTCCTCCTCGCGATGGAGCAGTCCCCCTCCATCCTCCCTAAAATCCCCAAGGTCATCAGATTGTTCCAGTCCTGCCTCTCTTCCACACTCTCAACACTGACTGCAGCGTCCTTCTTCCTTCTTATATCTTAATGTTAATACCCAGCACTCTGTCATTCTCTCCCATTCTACTCTCAATATACATATAACATTTAAAACATAAACACTTGCTATAGTAAGAACTGTATCTTGTGCTTTAGAAATATTAACCCCAATAGTCATCACAATAACCCTCTGAAGAAGATAATATCATTGTCCCCATTTCACAGCTAAAAATACTGAGGCCGAGGGAATTTATGAAGTTGAGGAGAGACTGGGTTCATCCCTAGCCAGCTGAGTCCAGAATCCATGCTCTTGACTATGTGCTAAGCTGCCTCTCAGTTCCTAGATATCCTCTCCTTCATGGGTATCACCTCCACCCTCCCTCAGTCATAACCTAGGACCTTAAATTACAGGCTACAATCTTTAATCTGAAATCCTTCGAACTCCTGGAAATCATTTTTTTTAATTTAAAAAGACATATCCATTAAATATTTTGAATATACTAATAAGTATATGAAACACTTGTAAGCAATGGATAATCTCTGCACTATTATTCAAATAATATTAATATCTCTGTATGAACATTCAGACAGAATGGTAAGAAGTAAACACTAGAAGTAAACTCATGTCAGTGTTTGTCACCAAATTAATGAGACACAGACTTCCAATGCTCTAGCTTTTGGAATTTCAGAATGTGAACTTATACTAAAACCTGAAATCCCTCCAATGTGGGTATCTGATCCCTGAGCCCCGCCTTTCAGGCTCACTTGCTCTAGCAAGTTATCCACAAGTCACGGTTTACCTCTTACTTGCTAGAATTCATCACTGTCCTCCTCACCCACCTTAAATGCCAACACCATCATTCTAATCACTCCTGAGACGTGAAGTTGGAAATAGGAAGAAAAGATCCTGCACTTGTTTTATTATTTTTGTTAATTGTTATTATATCTCTCTCTCTATCATTCCATATTCTACTTTACTGTACTATGTTAATTGTTATTATATAGTAACTCAGTTCTAATCATAAGCTAGGTACTTTCCCTACATTATCTCCACTCACTCAGCTGTATATGGTGGGTAATATTATCTCCAAATTAGAGCTGAGTAATCTGAAGCTGGGAGAGTTTAGGTAAGTTGTCTAAGATCACAAGGCCAGGTTTTATCTTGGGTGCTTTCTGATTCAAACCCCTGTGCAATGATTCTCTAGGGACACTGCCTTCCCATCTGAGAACATGGGCTCTCCCAAAAGCTTATGTCCAACACATCTACTCTTTGTTTAGTACTTGCCAAAAAATGACATAAACTATAGATATAAAACCCAAGGAGAAGAATAATTTAAAAAAACTTATCCAAATAGTAGTGAGACTGATAATAAAGCTCTCCAAAATCCTAGGAGCTATCCTCACTGGCCTCATTGCAAGCAGCCGTTCTCTCCAGCCTACGTCCTCATCACGACTCCGGCCTCAGCTGATGTTTTGGTGGCGGCAGCTGTGACTCTCCGCACAAGCAAGGGCTTTGGAAGCAGGCCTGAATGCCTCTCTCTCATCTCTGTCACAGAAGTGCTCTATCATTTGTCTCATTTCAAAATAGACTGGATGTAGAAGTGGGGGGTAGCGTGCATGAGTCGAAAGAGGGTGTAGATGGGAAATCTCTGTACCTTGCACACCGTTTTGTTTTGAACCTAAAACTACTCTAAAAATACTCTTTTTTAATGGGCTTAATCATACCTTTAGTATAGGTTGTGTCTGTTGAATGTCTGACAGTAGAAGTTCTCATTATTTGCAGTTTGCTCTCAGAGCTCTGAAAGCAGATTTTTGAATGAATTATGTTGATTTTCACCCCTTGAGCCTTTGCTCTAACTTCTTTGTTAACCATTATATCATTGAAATGTAAAATGTCTAGGAGAGAGTTTCAGTTTTCTGAGCTGCCATAACTTGTTCCCACAAACGTGTTGCCTTTATTCTCCACAGTCCTGTAGGTCAGGGGTCTGTAACCAAGGTATCGACAGGGCGATGCTCCCTCCCATGGCTCTAGGGTAGAGCCCCCCTCTGTCTCTTCCAGCTTCCCACAGCTCCAGGCCTTCCTCAGCTTGTGACAGCATCACTGGAATATCTGCCTCCATCTTCACGTGGCCGTCTTCTCTCCGTTTCTCCTCTTCTGTCTCTTATAAGGACAGTGCTCTTGGATCTAGCTCCCCTCCAGGTAATATAGGATAATCTCATCTTAACTGAGTGTGTAAAGACCTCTTTTCCAAATAAGATCTGCTTCTGGGGGGTTAGAAAGTAGACATATCTTTTTTTGGTGGGGGAGAGGTCACCACTGAACCCACTACAGAGGGAACTGTGAGGATCTCACTGATAAGCCATTGGGACACCATGGTTCAAGATCTGGATGATTCATTTTCAGACACAGAAATCTGATTCTATATCCTAAATGGACTGATTAACACCAAGAAATGTCATAAGAACCTTGCTTATTAGTTGTCATCTTTATTTACAGCATTAAAGATAACAGTAGCAAAAATTAAGTCTATAATTTGATTAAAAATATCTTTCATACAAGAGACTAGACTATAGAAATGCTTTCAATTTAAGTTGATATAGAATAAATGGAAGCAGCTTTCTTCAACACCAAACTTGTATTATTAAAAAATAATGGATTTTATTTTAAAATCTATTTGTTTCTGGTTTATGAATTTTTGCTCTGCCTTGATCCAGAATAAATTTAATGCAACTTACAGAGAAAGATAAAATTCAAACAAATAGCATATTTTAAAATTAGAGGCAATAGAAGAACAAACACCAAGTCGGGGGTTTAAATGGAGGCAGAATTGGAGCTAAAATGTATATCACCATCACAATCACACACACACTTGTTAAGGGGGTCAGAGATTTGGCCAAACATTTTTAACAGTGAACACAAAAAGAGAAGAGTCTTCAAGTCCACAGATTAGTATCTTAGTAAGGAGGAAAACAAATAAGTTGATAGTTTTTTCAAACTAAAATCAGAGGGGATTTTGTCCCAGAGATCTCCGAAAGGAGGTACTTTATCTTTCAAGAAAATAGAATTATCTGCTGATTTTCCTTTTCAAGCAGTTGCATACTTACTGATAATCCGTGCTAGGGTCTTTTGTATCTCACTCAGTGATGGCAAATTCAGAGAATATTAACAATTTGCCCAAAATCACAGAGCTCCACTGTCATGCCCAGGATTTAGGATCCTTAATCCATAACATTGGTTGCTCTTTCTCATTCCTTTATTGGGATTACTCTTTGAAACAAGGTACTATTTTCAATTCCCGTCCTATTTCCCTGTTTTCTATGAAATATTTTGCTACACTGTGTCTATTTTTCTGTTGAGTCTGAGCCGCAGCATTCCTAGCTATGCAAACATATTCTTACTGGTTGCTGCTTCTTTCTCTACCTCTAATGAATTTAACTCTTTCCAATTTATAAGTCAATGCTTCTGTCTGACAGAGTTCAATGCAATTGATCAGATGGCAGATTCTTTCCTGAGGACGCGTTCCAGTTACTGGAATCAATTCAGGAGGCTCTCAGCTTGTTTGGATCCTGTTGATTTCAGCTGCATTTCTAAACCTGTCCCAAACTGGGCCCTGAAAGTTGTGAGGGACAGGTGAAATGGGGAAAGAATATTGACCAAATATCCTAAGAATTAGCTATAATAGAATAATTGAAAATTAGAGCTGGCAGAAAATTTGGAGCTATCTAGCTCTTTGTTTTAGAAACTGATTCATGGAGATCTATGAATCTGTGCAGGTTCTTTCTGGAACAAGCTTCAGGCCTCCCTGAAGCTTCCTGCTTCCAGGCCACAGCTAGACTTTTGTATCTCCCTCCCTCTCTCTAGTTTTGGCATAATATTTCTTTTTCATTAAGTCTCCCTCTGCTAGAAAACCCCAGCTATTGTCTCATTCCTTTCCTATTTCCTTTTTCCTACTATATTTATATTAAATTCTACAAATATTGAAGCAGCATTTCTGTCTTACTCTGTTGGTGGGAACTCCATTGTCTATACCTGCCTGTATAGATGGTTCCTGAACTATCACAAGCAATTGTCTTTCATATTTGTAATACTTTCCACGATTTGTGTTCATATATTCATGTCTAAGGAAAAAAATCTTTGGCCGAAGAAGCATAATGGCTAATCTAACTGAATGTGAAGAGTTGCTTTGTAGAATAACTTTCTCAATAATCACTATTGAAAATAACCTTCCAAGTTCACACCTTGCACTATAGGGATTTCCTCTAGGGACTTTCCCATTGGTGGCATGTATTTATCTGGAAGGACTTCGTGCTTTAGGCAGTAATGCAAATAAACCTAACAAGAGATGGTGCTTTAACTCTATATTACTTTCCACATCAGTGCTTGTTGCAAAGAGGAACTCTGGAGGTAAACAAACAAAAAACAAACAAAAAATTTATGACTAAAAGGGAATTTTATGAAATTAAGAGAACCAAGCATGAGTTAGTTGAAATTAACTTCCAGTAAGCTTGTACAGTATAATTTTGATGTATTTAGTTTGTTACGGAATACACTTGAGATTTGTAATAAAATGGAAAGTTGTTTCTTCAGGCATCCCAGTGTATGTATGTTTTTCCCCCAGGAGTACTGAAAATCAGAATCCTATACCCTGTGAAAACCGAGAAGGACAGAATTCTCCGGATGTAAAGGACAGCGTCATGAGCAGCACCTCATCCCCCTTGGCAGCTGCCCAGCTCTGCTATGAGAATGTGAACGGGTCCTGTGTAAAAACTGCCTACTCGTCAGGACCCCGGGTGATTCTGTACACGGTGTTTGGCTTTGGGGCTCTGCTGGCCATGTTTGGAAACCTCCTGGTGATGATTTCCATCCTTCACTTCAAGCAGCTGCACTCGCCAACCAATTTTCTCATCGCCTCTTTGGCTTGTGCTGACTTTCTGGTGGGAGTGACTGTGATGCCCTTCAGCATGGTCAGGACTGTGGAGAGCTGCTGGTACTTTGGGCAAAGTTTCTGCACTTTCCACACGTGCTGTGATGTGGCATTTTGTTACTCTTCTCTCTTCCACTTATGCTTCATCTCTATCGACAGGTACATTGCTGTTACAGACCCTCTGGTCTATCCCACCAAGTTCACAGTGTCTGTGGCGGGGATAAGCATCAGCCTCTCCTGGGTCCTGCCCCTGACTTACAGCGGCGCCGTGTTCTACACAGGTGCCTCTAATGATGGGCTGGAGGAATTATCTAGCTCCCTCAACTGTGTCGGAGGTTGTCAGGCAGTTGTAAGTCAAAACTGGGTGTCGATACATTTTCTATCCTTCTTTATACCCACTCTTATTATGATAATTCTCTATGGTAATATTTTTCTTGTCGCTAGACAACAAGCTAAAAAGATTGAAAATACTGGTAGCAAAACAGAATCATCATCAGACAGTTATAAATCCAGAGTGGCCAAGAGAGAGAGAAAAGCAGCTAAAACCCTGGGTATCACAGTCATAGCATTTATGGTTTCATGGTTACCATATAGTATTGACTCATTAATTGATGCCTTTATGGGCTTCATAACCCCTGCCTATGTTTATGAGATTTGCTGTTGGTGTGCTTATTATAACTCAGCCATGAACCCCTTGATTTATGCTTTGTTTTATCCTTGGTTTAGAAAAGCCATAAAAGTTATTGTGAGTGGTCAAGTGTTCAAGAACAGTTCTGCAAACATGAATTTGTTCTCTGAACAAATGTAAGCCTTTGGATTGAGGTAACTGAAGCTATCTTTACATTTTCCAAATGGAATGAGTTTATAAAAATCAAGTAGACTGTTAATGAGGAGAAAGCAAATTGCTTTTCAAATTTAATTGGATAAATGCATGATTTTCAGTCTTGTTAAGTTATGCTCTTTCCTGTGACTTCTCTAAGGACATTTATTTGGCTAGTAAATATTAAATCCCTGTTTGCTAACTGCTGCAGAGCTCACTGTACCCCATTCCCTGCAGACACTTTCCTCCCTCCCTTTTTCCTTTTATTCCATTAACTCTTCCCTTTGTAACCTGAAAATATCTTTTTTGTCTTTGATTTTCTTTCTTTTTTTCTTACAAAATTTTCTACTGCCTCCCAACTTGTCAAAAATTTCCTTATGATTAGTTTTCATCAGACTACTACTTTTTTTAACAATAAAACTTATCAAACTGGCCAATATTAAAGGAGAGTTCATCAGTCATAAAATTAATTTCTAAACAAGCATAAATTTCATATTGATGATTTGAAAAATTGGAACTTGATCTGGAATTATGATATGAAATACAATGCTTGAAAATGTTCCATTTAATTAGGGAGGAGAAATGGTACCTCAATTTCAGTAGCATCACGTTTGTTTATATTTTTATCTTTTTGGTGAAGTAAACATCGTTAAGCATTTGATAGAAACATATGTACTAACTAATGTTTGACCCAGTGATCATATTTTCTAGTTTCCTTAAATCTGCGCACTTTGTTATTTATTTCTCTCTTTCAGGCCTCCTGTATCCATCTTACCTTTCCTACCAAACTTATCTTTTTTCCACTTTCAAAGCTTTTTTTATTCCATGTTCCCTGTTAATGTCATATTTTCCCTGTCTTTCTTTGGGCTCAGTTTACTTTCATTTTGAGCACCTTCTGTCTTGGGGTCTGGTATTTCTGGAGCTCCTAAAGGTCTCTAGCCATACCCCTCAATCACTTCAGACTGAGGATAAGAATCATATTTTATATTCGGGAGGATATTTTGTAATCTGGGAATAACCGGAAGCAAATGGTACAGTTTCTGCAAAGTGATTATCTTTTTAGGTAATCATTTTCTCATTCCATGAGATGTGTTGTTTTATCTTCCAGTCTTGATAGAGGGCAACTTTGTCATTTTTTTCCCCTCAATAACACTATTTTGAGTTTATACATTGTGCATGATAAAAACAACACTGTTATTTAAGTTATTAGAAAAAAGGGGATAATTTAGAAATGTGGAAGTGATATATAACTTTTTGAAAAATTCTTGTGTCTTGCTTCATGTATTTCACAAAATCAAAACTGATTTCTTCCAGATGTTAAAACTAGAAGATAATATCTCTTTTATGATTTTATTGGTGAGATCATAGCACAAAATCCATAAAGATTCATGCACTAAATTTCAACTTTTAAACTTCAAAGGAAAACAAAACCATGTTATGGAAAAAAACTAAAAAGACAAACTTGGAAACGATCCACAGCATGCATGACAAAAAGGGGTTAGGAGACTTAAAAATGCAAAAGCCTTTTATAAAACGGTAAGATGGAGACAAATATCTCACTAAACAAATAAATAGGCAATTTTACAGAGGTAGACCAAATAAATACATTAAAATATCAAATGTACAAATAATCCATAAACGCTTATAAAAATGTAATAAGTTTGATATCTCAAATTGGCAAATTCTAGAAGAATCAATAATAACTGATAGTAATTAGAAAGTAGGAAATTGAGCATTCTCATGAGAGGAAAGCATGCTCACATACATCTAGGGAAAATATAATTAAGTATCTTCTCTCTGAGTGGAATGAAGATATTTATGTAAAAGTTTAAATCATGCATGTCACTTGCTTCTGTACTTGTATTTCTGACGTAATCCTAAGGAAAGAGTCAATCAAGGAAGCAAACGTGACAAGCACATTCATTGTACTATTGTTAATTACAAACTGGAAAACACCTAGATCAATGTGGGGTAAGTTAAATAAAAATGATCCAACTATGCAATAGAATGTTCTGAAGCCAATAAACAGTGCTAAGAAGTTCTGTATTCATTGACAAGGAAAGACAAACACGGTATATTTTTTGACCCAAACTAAAACAAAACCAGAAAACTCTGACCCAGATTATAAAACAGCATAAGTAATGTGGCCCCCATATATGTATGCTTTTACAAAGTCTAAATTTATGTATAATAGACAGTGTGTGTATACAGGGCGGGGATTTCATTTGTAACTTATCTCTATAATTTAAAATGTCTGTAAAGAAATAAATATGTTAAAATTGATAGTACCAATACACTTCTCTGTTCTTATCTGTGCACTGAAGTTAGGCTTATGTGTTTCTTTCTTGCCGTTATGATAACATGGATGGATCTAGAAGATGTTAGACTAAGTGAAATACATGAGATAGAGAAAGACAAATACTGTGTGTTCTCACTTATATGTGGATTCTAAAAAACAAACAAAACAAACAACATGAAATGAAAACAGATTCATAGATACAGAGAACAAACAGGTGGTTGCCAGAGGGGAGGTGTTAGGAGGGCATGAAATAGGTGAAGGGAATTAAGAGGTACAAACCTCCAGCTGTAAAATAAATAACGTATGGGATGCCATATAGAGCACAAGGAATATGGTGTATAACGTAATACCTTCGTATGGGGACAGGTTACTGGACTTATCACGGTGATCACTTAATATTGTATGCAAACATCAAATCACTATGTGGTACACCTAATGCTAAGATAATATTGTATGTCAACTACATTTCAATAAAAATTGCAAATGTAATCATATTGTTACTCATAATAATGAATTGATAATATCCTTAGAAAAAAGTTAAACAAAACCTTTAATCTCAACAATGCTTAGAAGTGATTTGTGTGGAGAAAGGGCACAAAAGGACCAAATGACTTAATAATATAAAACAATAAGATCATGATTTTTCCTGACGTGCAGACCAATAATTACCCTTAGTAGTTAAGATATAGTTTATTCGAATGACTCTCCACTCAGCCTCAGAGGGGAAAATCTTGTACAATAAAATAAAATTTCAATAATGAAGAAGTAAGGCTGATTAGAAAACAATATATTAAAATTTTATTTAAAAATTTTTATATCATAGCAAATCAATTACTCCCTCCAACGTCCCCATTTCTCAAAGAACTTTGTTAATACTTTTCTTTATGATGATCAAATGTTTCCTTTATAGAAATTTGTGTAAAAACCTTGTGTCTGTATTGCTGTCAACAACTTGACTGCAGTGTCTGGGCCACAGAAGGGAGGAATAGTTAGTGGTTACTTGACTTACTCGCTGACTTTCTGGGTGTGAACACCAGTTCTCTTGCTTAACAAATAACACTGCCTTAGATATGTAACTTACCTCTTCATGCCTCAGGTTCCTCATTTATGAAATAGAAGTAATAATAATATGACATAGTAATGCTATTCCCTGGCTCATAGCGTTGTTGTGAAGATCGCGTTAGTGCAGGTGAGGCAGTCCCGTGCACAGAATGAGAGTTTCACAACTTAGATAAAGTATTCTTAGGTTTAAATTGTTTTTATTGTTATATCCTTCCAGTTCCAAAGCTCATGCTTTGCATACCAGAAGCACTCAATAAATGTTCACTGAAGCAAAGGCCAAGAGACTAGCCCCCTACATGATCAGATTAATTCACAGAAGAGAGTAATGAGGGAAGAAGCTTATTTCCTTATAATGCAAGTCTTCAAACATTTATAAAAATAGAATAGTATGTTGCTCTAGGAAAGGAAGTGGCAAAGTTAGATGACTTGTCTAACATTTTAGAAAGTCCACTGAAAAAAAGGACAAGTGTAAATGTATTGAAGTAGCTATAAGAAGTGCTTATTTGATTCTAGAAGTTTTATAATATTCACCAGATTTCTTAAACATTTTGATTTTAGCATTTTTATCTTTATAATGAAAAACATTAATCAATAATCAATCTAAGGAAGAAACAGAGACTTTTATTTGAGGCAACCTGAGGATTATAATATGGGAGACAGCCTATCACAAAGCACAGTCATGTACATTTTTGAGAGAAAGGCACATACATCAAAATGACACACTGACATTTTACATAAAGTTCACCAAAGATACATAGTCCAGATAAGCACATACTAAGCAAGCGATAGGTCACCATGACCCCTTACGGAAACTGGGGGAAAGGAAGTTTATCTTTTAAGGAGTTACACTGCTGGCATCACCAAAAGGAAAAAATTGATCTTTACGGTTGAGCAGGCATTCCTGCTCTGAGGAGGTCTGGTTAAGACATAATACAGAGGCTCATTGCACATCAGGGAGATCTCAACACGGGCAGGGAGTATATGATGCTTAAATTTTCTTGTCAAAACATAAATTTTATTCCATCAATACATTTCAAAACAGGATTAGAAAGAAGTTGCTATCCTGAACCTCAGGAATCAAAACAAATTTATTATACTCGGTGTTAGAACTAAAGAATTGTGGATAAACTGCTAATTTATCCTTAATCTTTACCTTTAATTATTGGTAATACCAGATAAAGATGCAAGTTTCTCACAAGATCAGTATAATCAGAAAAAATACACTATTTCTGGAGTATATCTTTACAATTAAAGGATCTGTAATAATAGAAATGACATGCTAATGGATAATGTTGTTTTACATTAAGCTAAAAATTTTTTAAATATAGCAAGAATGTTTTGATATATATTTACTCCTGCACCAAAGATAGAGTAATTTGATTTTAAAATCTTGATGTCTAATTGCAAAAAAACACTAAAACTAGAATAGAATTAAGTGAATGATTTACATTGTTCATGGACCTACAGCACCCGCTTAATACCAAGAACAATTCTCTGAAATAACTGGCTTAATGTGTCCACTATGAATTGCATAACTAATTCATTTCCCGTTTTTGGCCTTGGAACCAAGTTTGTGAGTCATAAGAAAATGCAATTTGTAGCATCTGTCTTGGCTTCATTTTATGCC